CTCCAGTCTGTTTGTCCTTTATATGGCCGAACCTTGAAAATATTTTTATAGGGTCTAATTTATAACCTTGAAGACATCTTTATAGGGTCTAATTTATAACCTTGAAGACATCTTTATAGCGTCTAATTAGTTACAACTCCAACCGTATCCAGGAGGTACAAATCCAACCTTATCCAGGAGGTTCAAATCTAACCGTATCCAGGAGGTACAAATACCATGTGACACCAGGGTCCAGGAGAAATCCACCCAGAGATAATCTGTATTTGGACTCAGAACTACTTTTCGAAAAACAGTTTATCTTACATGATTTACTCCCAAGGCACCCTACTGTTCATTCTCATATAAGTATCCCAAATGGCACCCTATTCACTATACTGTATAGTCCACTAATGTTGACCAAGGCCCATAGGGCTCTGGTCAAAGGTAGTGCACTTTGGCTGCGTTTAGACAGATGTTTTTTTTTTTTCACTAATTGGTCTTTTGACCAATCGGATCATCTCTGAAAAATATCTGATGTGAAAAGATCTGGTGTGATTGGTCAAAAGACCAATTAGTGGAAAACATTGTGCTGCCTGTGTGACTGCAGCCTACTGTGTAGGGATTTGGGTACCATTTGGGGCAGACACACAAGATGTCTGTCTGTTTAAGATGAAGTCTAATCACTCTGTTGGGGCCTGGTAGTAGATGTATTGACCCTTGATTTATTTAATCCACATCTGATATTTATTCTCCTGGTTTCAAGATCCTGTGATCCTAGGCCTAGATTCAATCTGGACCGCGGAAGATCTGCGCTATAATTTAAAGGCAATGTTCCCGTGTTCGCGGATACTGCGTTCACGGTAAACGCTGCATATGTCGGCTCAATCTGAAATTATCTTTACATTTCAATCGCGCTATATTGAGGATCTTCCGCGGCCCGTATTAAATCAAAATCAACCTAGCCCCTAGTCTGTCTTGTCGTCAGCCAGCTCTTTCTCTGTAGTAATGAGCCTGGGGACGAGGTTTGATCTTACCTAACAAGGAGAGCTGCTCCAATAATGGTCCCTTCACTGACATGTTTGTCTAATTACAACATTTATTGTAGCAGCGGTGCTAGCAACATGTCTTCACCTAACAACACAGGAGAGACTCATCCATCACGATAGCTCCATCAATGGTCCCTCTACTAACAATCTGTCTCCTATTTGTTAGTAGAAATTACAATGTTCATTGGTTAGGTAACTTAGTCTGAATATAATTCCAAAATTCTCCATCAACAGAATCCTCATGCAGTTTTTGTGATCATATAATGGAGGTGACAGTGAATGAAATGGAGAGGCATTTTGTCCTGCCTTGTTTAAACTGACTGAGAAGCACTGTTATACACTTTGTAGACAGTAGATGCTAACTGGGATCATTGGAATGACCCTACCAATTTTTTTAGTTATGTAACTTTCAAAATACAGAAATCCTCCCCATATGATGCATTTTGCTTCATATGAAGCAAAACGCAGAATCATACGATACAAAATGCATCATACAGGGATGATTTCTGTATCTTGAAAACTTGATTGATGACAAACAATACATTTTGGGACTGTCAACAATGGACAAATGAAACAAATACCAAAATATTGTTTTTGGGTGGAGTTTTCCTTTAACTGTTTTCCATTTAAACTTCAATGGGGTGACATCAGAGTTGGATGTCCCAAGGATCCCACTTAGCATGTACTCTTTGTAGACAGGAGGATGGAGATAGGAGCTCTAGAGGTCATTTTATCAGTAATATGGGTATGTGAGAATGTATTAACCTTTTCACACTATCGTGCCGACCAGAACCAAACTGCTGACTCGGATAGCTTCCTTTCACATGGTCCTTTCCAGCAACTATGGTAGATGTGGAACCAGTCCAGTCCAGTTTTGTTTGGCTCAGTGGTGTGAACAGCTTTTAACTCCTCTGTGGAACCAGGCCAATCCAGTTTGGTTTGGTTTGGCTCAGTGCTGTTAACAGCTCTTAACTCCTCTGTGGAACCAGGCCAGTCCAGTTAGGTTTGGCTCACTGGTGTGAACAGCTCTTAACTCCTCTGTGGAACCAGTCTGGTTTGGCTCAATGGTGTGAACAGCTCTTAACTCCCCTGTGGAACCAGGCCAATCCGGTTTGGTTTGGCTCAGTGCTGTGAACAGCTCTTAACTCCTCTGTGGAACCAGGCCAGTCCAGTTTGGTTTGTCTCACTGGTGTGAACAGCTCTTAACTCCTCTGTGGAACCAGTCTGGTTTGGCTCAATGGTGTGAATAGCTCTTAACTCCTCTGTGGAACCAGTCTGGTTTGGCTCACTGGTGTGAACAGCTCTTAACTCCTCTGTGGAACCAGTCTGGTTTGGCTCACTGGTGTGAACAGCTCTTAACTCCTATGTGGAACCAGGCCAGTCCAGTTTGGTTTGGCGCAGTGGTGTGAACAGCTCTTAACTCCTCTGTGGAACCAGTCTGGTTTGGCTCACTGGTGTGAACAGCTCTTAACTCCTCTGTGGAACCAGGCCAGTTTGGTTTGGCTCAGTGGTGTGAACAGCTCTTAACTCCTCTGTCCTGTCAGTATAAGATCAATAACCTTTTGAGTATGAATGTTATGTGAGTGTGAAGTGCAACACTGCAGCGTACTTCATCAGTCACTGAGCTTTGACCAAACACTTTTTGTGTGCGTCCCAAATGGCATCCTTTTCCTCATATGGCTCTGGTCAAAAGTAGTGCACTATATTGTGGATAGGGTGCCGTTTGGGACGCAGCTCTCGTCTTGCCCACCTGTGTAGAACCTATGCAACACTTGACTTAGAAAGTAGTCTAAGACATGGGACAGCCAGGGGCTGGGGTTTCCATATATATTATGTAGTTTAATAAATATCTCATCACGATCTGTGGCTGATCTGTTGTTGGCAGGTTGTCTGTGGTGTAGAATGCTGATTTAGTCTGGAAACCACTGTGAATACTATCTCTGGTTCACTATTGTCTCAGTTAAGTGAAACAATAGTGAACCAGAATGATATTAAGTTTGGATTTCGGACTACTGATGACTGGGTTTGAGGCCGTTAGAAAACACAAATGAAAGTAGCTCTTCTCCAAGAATATAACTGATCCTAGTACTGAATCTCATGCAGACATGTTGTAAAATATCTCTACAGCGAACTGACGCTAACTGGCGGTGAGTGCTGCCATCTAGTGGATCCTAACAGACATACACATGTACATTTGGAATCTTCCATGAGAAGACAAAGCCGTGTTGGAGCGAAAGGAAGATTTTTGACAAAATGACACAGAGCCAATTCAATGCAACCTCTTTAATTCAAAAAGGTATCTTTCATTCTCACACCCACCAGCATCCATTTCATTACAATTGATGGAATAAACCTTGACTTAAGAAAGAAATTATACAATTTCTGCATTTCATTCCTTGATAGGACACTACTTTTTTCGATTAGCCTCCATCGTTCATGTAATAAATACCCTAGAGAGGCTGCATCCAAAATGGCACCCTATTCCCTATTTAGTGCACTACTTCTGACCAGGGCCCATAAAGTTCTGGTCAAAAGTAGTGCACTACATAGGGAATAGAGTGCCCTTTGTGACGCAGACAGAGTCTCGGACTCAGACGATATGGTTTCTCATAGTAAGCTGTTAAGGCCAATACAGTCCTCTCTTTTTATACAGACTGAGCATAGCATTCTACCTGAACAGAAACACAAGCAGAGTGCTGAGTTAGTTAAGTGAAAACCATATATAGATGACTGGTGAAAACTGACCAGTCATCATGAGAAATAAAGAGAAACTGGTTGAGGGACAGACTGGCTTAGATTAGACATGGGTGTAGTTAAACCATAGAGGTAAACTCCTGAAAATAAGCACTTACGTACCAGAGAATTCATTCTACTGGTTACCTTTAAAAACAGAAGGGTGGCTAGAGGACAAGGAGTAGTACCGTTGTGGCTAAAGTGCATCAGGACAAATGGGCAATCTTAGCATCTTAGGCTGTTTCAGTGCAGCTTATTCAAAAACCTAGAAGAAGAGATGTTTCAGTCGTACTAAGAGCATCTAGCCCAGACAATCTCATGAGGAAATTAAAAGAACAAACTACATCTAACGTATCATGAAGTCCTTGTTGTATTTCTGTTCTCCAGGAATTATAAGATGTATTGTTACAGGAAATCTACTGGGATTTAAAAAATGTGTTTATTTGACATCCCCATAGTGACGGATTGACACCTGGCCAACACATACATGAGACCAAATAAATTGAGACAGACAGGTAGTAGGTACCAAACAATAACTGAGCATGCACCAGGAACTAAACCATCTCTGACTCCACATTACATCAAAACTCCTTTCAAAACTCCTCTTTCATTTGTTTTTTAAAGGTAACTAGTTTAGTTCACACCCTGAAATAGTACAGAATGTCTTTGGTGCCACTGACTGATTCCAAGTCAGTTTAGATTGAATGAGTTTGATCTTCGAGTAGTTGTTTTGTTTGTTTGTTTTTCCCATAAAAAAGGCACCCTATTCCCTACATAGTGCACTACTTTTGAACAGGGCCAATAGGGAATAGGGTGACATTTGGGATGCAGCCTCTGTCTGGATTGGTGTAACTTTAAGATGGCTCCGCCTCACAGCAACATTCAAGTACAAAATAAAATGTAAAAGGTTGTCGAAAGGTCAAAGTTCAGTTCCTCAGGTTAAAACCCAAACCGACAGAGGGAGGTCATCGGAACTAGCCGACACCCCCAACAGAGGTCACAGAAGGGTTATCATAGAACCTCCCGTTACCACGATGATCATCATAGACCTGGTCGTCCAGGTAACAGGTCTCTCCAGACCATTGGTTGGTTGGTGTTCGTTATTCTTCTTGATTGGTGGATTACTTGCTTGTTGCGTTTTGAATGATTTTTACATCTCTCTCTCTCTCTCTCTTTCTCTCTCTCTCTCTCTCTCTCTCTCTCTCTCTCTCTCTCTCTCTCTCTCTCTCTCTCACTCTCTGGTTAAACTGATTTCTTGTTGTTCAGTTTCTTGCCTTTCTTGAGGGCAAGTTTGTTCTTCACGTGACCACGCTTCCTCTTTGCCGTCTGCAATAAATCAAATCAAAGAACATTTAGATGACAATAGATCAGTCCAGAAAAACCTCTAACCCTAGGCATTTAGCACTCTGATAGGTTAGATGGCATTTTAGACTAATTTATTATACATGTCCTATTCTTTTAGATGTATAAACATGATCTAGGGTGCAAGGATGAAGGGGTAATTGATTCTGGACAGGGCCAAGGATGAAGGGGCATGGGTATATGATTCTGGACAGGGACAGCAGAATCATTCACCAGCGCTCTCCAATTGAGAAGAGAGAAGCATGGATGACCTTGTTCCTGATCTTGATCCTGTACCTTTTTAGAGGTGTACTTCTGCCTGCTGCTGCTGCTGCTGCTACTACGGGGACTGTGCTCCAGGGGGTCCCTGTTCTCCTCCTTCTTGACCTTGTAGATCCGGACCAGCCAGTGCTCTGAGGTGAACGCCTCCTCCAGGTGTTTCAGCTTGATGTCCTTGTTACCGATCTCAGCGTTACGCGTCCGGTCGAAACCCGGCGGCGTCCGGAAGTCCAACTGGGGGGAGGAGAGATGGTCAGGTGGTGTAAGTGTTTGACAGTAAACTAGAGGAGCTGTGTCAGGGCTTGAGATCCCTGTGATGTAAACTAGAGGAGCTGTGTCAGGGCTTGAGATCCCTGTGAAGTAAACTAGAGGAGCTGTGTCAGGGATTGAGATCCCTGTGAAGTAAACTAGAGGAGCTGTGTCAGGGATTGAGATCCCTGTGAAGTAAACTAGAGCAGCTGTGTCAGGGCTTGAGATCCCTGTTATGTAAACTAGAGGAGCTGTGTCAGGGCTTGAGATCCCTGTGATGTAAACTAGAGGAGCTGTGTCAGGGCTTGAGATTACATTTACATTTAAGTCATTTAGCAGACGCTCTTATCCAGAGCGACTTGCAGTTTGTGCATACATCACTTTTTTTCATTATTTTTTTCATACCCCCCGTGGGAATCGAACCCACAACCCTGGCGTTGCAAACGCCATGCTCTACAAACTGAGCTACATCCCCTGCCGGCCATTCCCTCCCCTACCCTAGACGACGCTGGGCCAATTGTGCGCCGCCCCATGGGTCTCCCGGTCGCGGCCGGCTACGACAGAGCCTGGATTCGAACCAGGATCTCTAGTGGCACAGCTAGCACTGCGATGCAGTGCCTTAGACCACTGCACCACTCGGGATCCCTGTGAAGTAAACTAGAGGAGCTGTGTCAGGGCTTGAGATCCCTGTGAAGTAAACTAGAGGAGCTGTGTCAGGGCTTGAGATCCCTGTGAAGTAAACTAGAGAAGCTGTGTCAGGGCTTGAGATCCCTGTGAAGTAAACTAGAGCAGCTGTGTCAGGGCTTGAGATCCCTGTGAAGTGACACTAAATGCATGCATTAGGCCAAAGTCCAAGTTACAGGCACAGGTCTCCAGTTAGGATTCATCTGTAAGTGCACACATACAGATGAAGTGTTATTATGTGACCGGGTTAGGGTTAGGGTGATACGGCAGAGTAGAGCATCTCTTACCTGCATCTCTCCAAAGCGGTAGTATGACATCTTATACATGAGGCAGTTGAGCAGGATGGGAGACCCCTCTTTGTCCACCCTAAACTCTCCCTGGGGGGTGAAGTAGTCACTCTCCTGAGGAGGGAACATGCATACAGACAGTTTAGTACACTCATCCTGAGGGAACATACAGACAGACAGTTTAGTACACTCATAATGAGGACAGAAACTCTTTAGAGACTCATCCTGTTTTTAACCAATTCATTGTTCGTATTTAACTTAACATAGTCTTTATGCACAACATCATGACAAAGCTTTTGAAAAAAAAGACAACCATAGACTTCACATCATATGTAAGTGGCCAACTTTCCAAGTATTTGGTATAACCTCACCTCACCCTGAGATCCTTCTATAGCTCACAGTTTACCTCACAATCCTTCTATAGCTCACAGTTTACCTCACCATCCTTCTATAGCTCACAGTTTACCTCACCCTGCGATCCTTCTATAGCTCACAGTGGGAGTTTCAGCTCACCAATACTTGTGTTTTTTTTTTTTACATGATGGTTTAAAGGCTGCCGTCTCTCACCCTGACGTCTTTGGGATGCTCTCCCTCTGCGATCCTTCTGTAGCTAACAGTGGAAGCATCACCTCACCACTAAAGTCATCCTCACCCTGATGTCTTTGGGATGCTCTCCCTCTGCGATCCGCACCATCCACAGGAACTTGTTGATGTCATCACCAGAGTAGCCAATCACACCTCCGAAGATAATAAGCACATAGTCCACATCCAAAGACCTCATGATCTCATACGCTGCACTCTCATTGGACGACATGGCCTTGCCCACCTGAACACACAGAGAGAGAGAGAGAGAGACAGAGAGAGAATGAGAGAGAGAGGAGGGAGGGAGAGCGAGAGAGAAAGAGAAAGAGAGAGGATGAATAACTCACACATGTCCACATGGTGGCGCCAGAGGCACATTCTTATTTTGCTTGCCTCCTGTAAACTATGTTGAGATTTAAGACCCATGTGAAATTGATTCCATTTTGATTAATTAATACATTTACTGTTTGATTGATTGATTGTGAGAATAATGCGAAATGCACTTAAAAATAATGTTTGATTCATGAATTGACTGATCAAGATCCAATAATTGATGGGAGATCGATCCAAGCAGCTGCAGGGGAGATCGATCTCTGATTTCACAGGTAAGAACTCAAAGAATAAATGGTTACATGTCCCTTATATAGTGGGAGTTGATAATACTAATCATATTGTTTAAACAACAGTTATTTCATACAAGCAACAGTTCCAGAACACAATGGCCGTGTGTTAGGGTGCAGACATACCAGGAGTCTATGAAAGACATAACATCACAGTCCAACACAGAACATATCCCTTGAGAAGTACAACAGCTCACTCCAAATTCTGCCACCACAATAGTGTAAGACTCTTTACCAGTGCTATATGACTGTTGTTCCAAGTGTTGTTGTCCACTAGCGTGGTCCGATTGGCCATCCCCGCTATCTGGTAGCCATAGTCCCACCATGACATCACTCTGGCCTGCTCCTCTGTGTTCTGCCTTAGCCAATAGTAGGCCTCGCGGAAATCATCCAGAATATTCCTCGACCTGGGTAGAGAAGAGTGGAGAGAAACACGGAGAGAGAACTGATTTAAGGAATGGGTCATTGTTTACAAGTTCCTAGCTATCCCATAATGCCATCGCCGAAAACACCATATTTACATCTTCTTATTTTCTTCTGTGGTTTGGTGAGAGAGAGAGAGAGAGAGAAAGAGAGAGAGAGAGAGAGAAAGAGAGAAACCGTGAGAGAGTGAAACAGCGAGAGAGAAACATCGCAGGAGAGAGACATTAGGAAACGACAGTTACAGAGCAAAGTAATCAACAAAAGAAAGTGAGTCAACGTGTGATCTTACCCATCGTTGTTATAAGAGGCCAGTACAACACTAGGGCTGGAATAGGCGTTACTTGTAACCCAGGTGCAGTGGACAGCGAACATCATGAGCAGCATCAACATCAACATGGTGACGATACTCTTAATGTTGGGTCCCAGACCTTCCTCTGCTTTCTCCTGCTCTGAGACATGCTTACGAACCTTCCCTGCCTGCAGAGGGAGACAGGAACACAGATATAGTCACACGTTAGTAAAACCCCTGAAAATATGGTACATTTCCTCAAATATCAGAACCACAAATCCCTCTTTTCATGCTGTGACACCAAAAATATAGACATTCAGTTTGTGGGAAGACATCAACAGATATGGAATCAGTTTACTTCATATTAGGAAAACGTCACCAGCTCTTGCTAATATCAAAATGAGATCGTCATCAATTGTCTCGAGAAATGAGTAAACAAAATCTAAACCAGCAGAAGTAGTGTACTATACTGAAGTGTACACTGAATACTGAAGTGTACACTGAACTGTACACTGAATACTGACTATACTGAACTGTACACTGAACTGTACACTGAATATACTGAACTGTACACTGAATACTGACTATACTGAACTGTATACTGACTATACTGAACTGTACACTGAATACTGACTATACTGAACTGTACACTGAATACTGACTATACTGAACTGTACACTGAATACTGACTATACTGAACTGTACACTGAATATACTGAACTGTACACTGAATACTGACTATACTGAACTGTACACTGAATATACTGAACTGTACACTGAATACTGACTATACTGAACTGTATACTGACTATACTGAACTGTACACTGAATACTGACTATACTGAAGTGTACACTGACTATACTGAACTGTACACTGAATATACTGAACTGTACACTGAATACTGACTATACTGAACTATACTGACTATACTTAACTGTACACTGAATATACTGAACTGTACACTGAATACTGACTATACTGAACTGTATACTGACTATACTGAACTGTACACTGAATACTGACTATACTGAACTGTACACTGAATACTGACTATACTGAAGTGTACACTGACTATACTGAACTGTACACTGAATATACTGAACTGTACACTGAATACTGACTATACTGAACTATACTGACTATACTTAACTGTACACTGAATACTGACTATACTGAACTGTACACTGACTATACTGATCTAAAATATAAACGCAACATGTAAAAGTGTTGGTCCCATGTTTCAAGTGCAGAAATAAAAGATCCCAGAAATGTTACATATGCACAAAAAGCGTATTTCTCTCAAATGTTGTGCACAAATTTGTTTACATCCCTGTTAGTGAGCATATCTCCTTTGCCAAGATAATCCCTCCACCTTACAGCTGTGCCATATCAAGACGCTGATTAAACTGCATGATCATTACACAGGTGCACCTTGTGCTGGGGACAATAAAAGCCCACTCTAAAATGTACAGTTTAGTCACACAATACAATGCCGCAGATGTCTCAAGTTTTGAGGGAGTGTGCAATTGGCATGCTGACTACAGGAATGTTCACGAGACCTGTTGCCAGAGAATTGCATGTTCATTTATCTACCATAAGCGGACTCCAACGTCGTTTTAGAGAATTTGGCAGTACGTCCAACCGGCCTCACAACCGCACACTGTAACCACGCCAGCCCAGGACCTCCACATCCAGCTTCTTCACCTGCGGGATCGTCTGAGACTAGCCACCGAGACAGCTGATGAAACTGAGGATTATTTTGGTCTGTAATAAAGACCTTTTGTGGGGAAAAACTAATTCTGACTGGCTGGGCCTGGCTCCCCAGTGGGTGGGCCTATGCCCTCCCAGGCCCACCCATGCCTGCGCCCCTGCCCTGTCATATGAAATCCATAGATTAGGGCCTAGTGAATGTAATTCAGTTGACTGATTTCCTTATATGAACTGTAACTCAGTAAAATCGTTGAAATTGTTGCAAGTTGCGTTTCTATTTTAGTTCAGTATATAATAGGGAATAGGGTGTCTAGGCCCTGTCCAAAAGTGGTGCACTACATATAAAATAGGGTGCCAAAGCTCTGGCTACTGCAGTGCAACGTAGTGCACTACAGTATATAAGGATTTTAAGTGTACTAAAGCTCTGCCCAACGAAGTGCACTATGTAGGGAATAATGTGCCATTTAGAACAGATCCTCATACCTTATCATAGAGGTTTCCAGAGTTCCTCTTGTCGTCCTCATCACTACTATCCTCTATGGGAGGGCTCTCCCTCTTCATGTCGTCCCCTAGGTAGTGTTCAAACACGCTGGAGAAGGCTATGGCTGACAGCATACACACTACGGGGGTCAGTGTCAGCATTAGACGGACCATCACTCCAGCAAAGTAGACAGCACTGATGGCATACAGGGCCACTAGGGAGTGGGAGAGAGAGCAGGGTTAGGGTTTAGTACACTGGGTTAAGGTTGAACATATTGGGTTAGGGTTTAATACACTGGGTTAAGGTTGAACATATTGGGTTAGGGTTTAATACACTGGGTTAAGGTTGAACATATTGGGTTAGGGTTTAATACACTGGGTTAAGGTTGAACATATTGGGTTAGGGTTTAATACACTGAGTTAAGGTTGAACATATTGGGTTAGGGTTTAATATATTGGGTTAGGGTTTAATACACTGGGTTAAGGTTGAACATATTGGGTTAGGGTTTAATACACTGGGTTAAGGTTGAACATATTGGGTTAGGGTTTAATATACTGGGTTAAGGTTGAACATATTGGGTTAGGGTTTAATACACTGGGTTAAGGTTGAACATATTGGGTTAAGGTTTAATACACTGGGTTAAGGTTGAACATATTGGGTTAAGGTTTAATATATTGGGTTAAGGTTTAATACACTGGGTTAAGGTTGAACATATTGGGTTAGGGTTTAATACACTGGGTTAAGGTTGAACATATTGGGTTAGGGTTTAATATACTGGGTTAAGGTTGAACATATTGGGTTAAGGTTTAACACACTATTCTCTCTGAGAAGTAGACAGCACTGATAGCATACAGAACCTGTCACGCCCTGGCTCTGGGGACTCTTATATGTTGAGCCAGGGTGTTAGTTTCTATGTGTAGTGTCTATGTTTTGTTTTCTATGTGTTCTTTTCTAGATCGTGTATTTCTGTGTTGGCCGGGGTGGTTCCCAATCGGAGGCAGCTGTGTCTTGTTGTCTCTGATTGGGAACCATACTTAGGCAGCCTGTTGTGCACTTGTCATTTGTGGGATCTTGTTCCGTTTAGGTTTGTGTTGTATGACCGAGGACTTCACGTTTCGTTTTGTTGTTTTGTTGTAGTGTCCAAAGTACGCATTAAAAGATGTACGCATATCACGCTGCGCCTTGGTCCACTGATTACGACGAAACGTGAAGTCCTCGGTCATACAACACAAACCTAAACGGAACAAGATCCCACAAATGACAAGTGCACAACAGGCTGCCTAAGTATGGTTCCCAATCAGAGACAACAAGACACAGCTGCCTCCGATTGGGAACCACCCCGGCCAACACAGAAATACACGATCTAGAAAAGAACACATAGAAAACAAAACATAGACACTACACATAGAAACTAACACCCTGGCTCAACATATAAGAGTCCCCAGAGCCAGGGCGTGACAGAACCACAAGGAAGAGCAGGGGTTAACACAGAGATCCTATTAAAGCTGCATTATGTCACTTTTTGGGTGACCAGACCAAATTCACACAGAACTGTCAGTTATAGATCTGTGATTCTCATTGTAAGCAAGTCTAAGAAGCCATAGATGTGTTCTATGTGCGTTATTTCTATGCTTCCCGTTCTTAAGTTTTGTTTTTGCGTCTTTTACTTTCGGTTTTGTACACACCACACACACACACACACACACACTAGGGAGAGGGAGAGAGCAGGGTTAGGGTTTAACTCACTGCTGCAGTATAGCAAAGACAGTTTCTAGTTGTTATTGTCACGTGCACTAGTACAGTGAAATGCCTTTCTTGCTGGCTCTTTCCCAACAATGCAGTAATCAATATCAGTAGTATTATAAAACATTAATACAAAAGTCAAGTAAAACAAAATCAGAAATAGAAATAAGAAGAATACGAGAAAGTAAGTCAGAAATATACAGGGACAGTTCCAGGGTCAGTAGTTATATACAGGGACAGTTCCAGGGTCAGTAGCTATATACAGGATCAGTTCCAGGGTCAGTAGTTATATACAGGGACAGTTCCAGGGTCAGTAGCTATATACAGGATCAGTTCCAGGGTCAGTAGTTATATACAGGATCAGTTCCAGGGTCAGTAGCTATATACAGGATCAGTTCCAGGGTCAGTAGTTATATACAGGATCAGATCCAGGGTCAGTAGCTATATACAGGATCAGTTCCAGGGTCAGTAGCTATATACAGGGACAGTTCCAGGGTCAGTAGTTATATACAGGGTAAGTTCCAGGGTCAGTAGCTATATACAGGATCAGTTCCAGGGTCAGTAGCTATATACAGGATCAGATCCAGTGTCAGAAGCTATATACAGGGACAGTTCCAGGGTCAGTAGTTATATACAGGGTAAGTTCCAGGGTCAGTAGCTATATACAGGATCAGATCCAGGGTCAGTAGCTACAGTGGGGGAAAAAAGTATTTAGTCAGCCACCAATTGTGCAAGTTCTCCCACTTAAAAAGATGAGAGAGGCCTGTAATTATCATCATAGGTACACGTCAACTATGACAGACAAAATGAGAAAATAAAATCCAGAAAATCACATTGTAGGATTTTTTATGAATTTATTTGCAAATTATGTTGGAGAATAAGTATTTGGTCAATAACAAAAGTTTCTCAATACTTTGTTATATACCCTTTGTTGGCAATGACACAGGTCAAACGTTTTCTGTAAGTCTTCACAAGGTTTTCACACACTGTTGCTGGTATTTTGTCCCATTCCTCCATGCAGATCTCCTCTAGAGCAGTGATGTTTTGGGGCTGTCGCTGGGCAACACGGACTTTCAACTCCCTCAAAAACATTTCTATGGGGTTGAGAACTGGAGACTGGCTAGGCCACTCCAGGACCTTGAAATGCTTCTTACGAAGCCACTCCTTGGGATCATTGTCATGCTGAAAGACCCAGCCACGTTTCATCTTCAATGACCTTGCTGATGGAAGGAGGTTTTCACTCAAAATCTCACGATACATGGCTCCATTCATTCTTTCCTTTACACGGATCAGTCGTCCTGGTCCCTTTGCAGAAAAACAACCCCAAAGCATGATGTTTTCACCCCCATGCTTCACAGTAGGTATGGTGTTCTTTGGATGCAACTCAGCATTCTTTGTCCTCCAAACACAACGAGTTGAGTTTTTACCAAAAAGTTCTATTTTGGTTTCATCTGACCATATGGCATTCTCCCAATCCTCTTCTGGATCATCCAAATGCACTCTAGCAAACTTCAGACGGGCCTGGACATGTACTGGCTTAAGCAGGGGGACATGTCTCGCACTGCAGGATTTGAGTCCCTGGCGGCGTAGTGTGTTACTGAGGTAGGCTTTGTTACTTTGGTCCCAGCTCTCTGCAGGTCATTCACTAGGTCCCCTCGTGTGGTTCTGGGATTTTTGCTCACCGTTCTTGTGATCATTTTGACCCCACGGGGTGAGATCTTGCGTGGAGCCCCAGATCGAGGGAGATTATCAGTGGTCTTGTATGTCTTCCATTTCCTAATAATTGCTCCCACAGTTGATTTCTTCAAACCAAGCTGCTTACCTATTGCAGATTCAGTCTTCCCAGCCTGGTGCAGGTCTACAATTTTGTTTCTGGTGTCCTTTGACAGCTCTTTGGTCTTGGCCATAGTGGAGTTTGGAGTGTGACTGTTTGAGGTTGTGGACAGGTGTCTTTTATACTGATAACAAGTTCAAACAGGTGCCATTAATACAGGTAACGAGTGGAAGACAGAGGAGCATCTTAAAGAATAAGTTACAGGTCTGTGAGAGCCAGAAATCTTGCTTGTTTGTAGGTGACCAAATACTTATTTTCCACCATAATTTGCAAATAAATTCATAAAAAATCCTACAATGTGATTTTCTGGATTTTTTTTCCTCAATTTGTCTGTCATAGTTGACGTGTACCTATGATGAAAATTACAGGCCTCTCATCTTTTTAAGTGGGAGAACTTGCACAATTGGTGGCTGACTAAATACTTTTTTCCCCCACTGTTCCAGGGTCAGTAGCTATATACAGGGTCAGTTCCAGGGTCAGTAGCTATATACAGGATCAGATCCAGGGTCAGTAGCTATATACAGGGACAGTTCCAGGGTCAGTGCCAATACCATATTTACAATGTGCAGGGATACTGGAGTGATAGAAGTATATACAGTTGAAGTTTATATACACTTAGGTTGGAGTCATTAAAACTTGTTTTTCAATCACTCCACAAATTTCTTGTTTACAAACTATAGTTTTGGCAAGTCGGTTAGGACATCTACTTTGTGCATGACACAAGTATTTTTTCCAACAATTGTTTACAGACAGATTATTTCACTTATAATTCACTGTATCACAATTCCATTGGGTCAGAAGTTTACGTTCACTAAGTTGACTGTGCCTTTAAACAGCTTGGAAAATTCCAGAAAATGATGTCATGGCTTTAGAAGCTTCTGATAGGCTAATTGACATCATTTGAGTCAATTGGAGGTGTACCTGTGAATGTATTTCAAGGCCTACGTTCAAACTCAGTGCTTCTTTGCTTGACATCATGGGAAAATCAAAAGAAATCAGTCAAGACCTCAGAAAAAAAATGGTAGACCTCCACAAGTCTGGTTCATCCTTGGGAGCAATTTCCAAACGTCTGAAGGTACCACGTTCATCTGTACAAACAATAGTACGCAAGTATAAACACCATGGGACCGCGCAGCCGTCATATCGCTCAGGAAGGAGACGCGTTCTGTCTCCTAGAGATGAACATAATTTGGTGCGAAAAGTGCAAATGAATCCCAGAATAACAGCAAAGCACCTTGTTAAAATACTGGTGGAAACAGGTACAAAAGTATCTATATCCACAGTAAAACGAGTCCTATATCGACATAACCTGAAAGGCCGCTCAGCAAGGAAGAAGCCACTGTTCCAAAACCGCCATAAAAAAGCCAGACTACGGTTTGCAACTGCACATGGGGACAAAGATCGTACTTTTTGGAGAAATGTCCTCTGGTCTGATGAAACAAAAATAGAACTGTCTGGCCATAATGACCATTGTTATGTTTGGAGGAAAAATGGGGTAAATTGCAAGCCGAAGAACACCATCCCAACCGTGAAGCACGGGGGTGGCAGCATCATGCAGTGGGGGTGCTTTGCTGCAGGAGGGACTGGTGCACTTCACAAAATAGATGGCATCATGAAGAAGGAAAATTATGTGGATATATTGAAGCAACATCTCAAGACATCAGTCAGGAAGTTAAAGCTTGGTCGCAAATGGGTCTTCCAAATGGACAATGACCCCAAGCATACTTCCAAAGTTGTGGCAAAATGGCTTAAGGACAACAAAGTCAAGGTATTGGAGTAGCCATCACAAAGCCCTGACCTCAATCCTATAGAAAATGTGTGGGCAGAACTTAAAAAGCGTGTTCGAGCAAGGAGGCCTACAAACCTGACTCAGTTACACCAGCTCGGTCAGGAGGAATGGGCCAAAATTCGTCGCTGCTTAAGGACAACGTTTGCGATGCACTTCCTAATGAAGCTGGTGACAGAGATGGTTAGTTCATCGATGCTATCGGCGGAGTCCCGTAACATATTCCAGTCAGCGCTAGCAAAGCAGTCTTGTAGCATAGCCTCCGAAATGGAGGACAATTTCTCAATGGAGCGCAACACGAGAACTTCCTGTTTGAGCTTCTGTTTGTAAACAGGAAGCAGGTGTATACATTTTAGTCATTTAGCAGACGCTCTTATCCAGCGACTTACAGTTAGTGCATTCATCTTAAGATAGCTAGGTGGGACAACCACATATCACAGGCATAGAAATACAAATGTTCCTCAATAAAGTTGCTATCAGTAGAGTCAGCGCTAGAAGGGGGGGGGGGGGGGGGGGGGGGGTCAAGTGCAAGTGCTGGTTCAGGATTTGATTTATTTTTTGGTTTGAGGAGGAGGATTATTTAAGATACTGTTTGAAGAAGTAGGGTTTCAGAGGTTTTGGAAGATGGGCAGGGACTCAGCTGTCCTAGTTTTAGGGGGAAGCTGGTTCCACCATTGGGGTGCCAGGACAGAGAAGAGCTTGGACTGGGCTGAGCAGAGCAGGAGCTGCCCTCCCGTAGGGGTGGGAGGGCCAAGAAACCTGAGGTGGCAGAACGGAGTGCCCGGGTTGGGGTGTAGGGTTTGAGCATAGCCTGAAGGTAGAGAGGGGCAGTTCCTCTTGTTCCGTAGGTAAGCTCCATGGTCCTGTAGTAGATGCAAGCTTCAACTGGAAGCCAGTGGAGTGTGCAGAGGAGCGGGGTGAAATGAAAGAACTTGGGAACCTTCAGGAGCGAGTCACTGCTTTGATGTTTGCAGAGAACGACAGGGTGTTGTCCAGGGTCACGCCAAGGTTCATTGCACTCTGGGAGGGCGACACTGTGGAGTTGTCAACCGTGATAGAGAGGTCTTTGAGCGGGCAGGCCTTCCCTGGGAGGAAGAGCAGCTCTGTCTTGTCGTGGTTGAGCTTGAAGTGGTGGGCCGACATCCAAGGTGAGATATATTGCCAGGCACGCAGATATGCGTGTCGCCACATGGGTGTCAGAAGGGGAAAAGGAGAAAAGTAGTTGAGTGTCATCCACATAGCAATGATAGGAGAGACCATGTGAGGATATGACAGCGCCAAGTGACTTGGTGTATAGAGAGAAGAGGAAAGGGCCTAGAACCGAGCCCTGGGTTGTGAGAGTACGTGGTGCAGACACAGATCCTCTCCACGTCAACTGGTGGGATCGGCCTGCCAAGTAAAATGCAATCCAAGAAAGTGCGCAGAGCCTGAGACGCCCAGCCCTGAGAGGGTGAAGAGGAGGATCTGATGGTTCACGGTGTCGAAGGCAGCGGATAGATCTAGGAGGATGAGAACAGAGGAGAGAGAGTCAGCTTTGGCAGTGTGGAGAGCCTCCGTGACACAGAGAAGAGCAGTCTCGGTTGAGTGACACATCTTGAAGCCTGACTGGTTAGGGTCAAGAAGATCGTTCTACGAGAGAGTTGATCAGAGACAGCACGCTCAAGTGTTTTCGAAATAAAATTAAGAAGGGATACAGGTCTGTAGTTGTTGAGTAGTTGTAGTTGGTCAGATGAGTCGAGTGTTGGTTTCTTGAGGAGGGGAGCGACTCAGGCCATTTTTAAGTCAGAGGGGACGCAGCCAGTAGTCAGGCATGAGTTGATGAGGGGAGGGAAGTGAGAAGGGAGGAGGGATCAAGCAGGCAGGTTATCAGGCGGCCAGACCTCACTAGTCGCAGGATGTCATCTGGAGAGCGAGGGGTGAAAGAGGTCAAGGCGTAGGGTAGTTCTGTGTGAGTGAGACCAGTGGACTCAATAGGCTGAGTGAATGAGTAGCGGATGTCGTGAACCTTCTTTTCAAAGTGGTTGACAAAGTAGAGTCATGATCTGACTTGCCCAAGGGGGGACGAGGGAGGGCCTTGCATGCTTGCTTGCGGGTAGAGTAACAGTGTTCTAGGACTTTATCGCCCCTAGTTGCTAAGGAGATGTGTTGATGGAAGTTGGGCATTAAGTGTCTTTATATACAGTGCCTTGCAAAAGTATTCATCCCCCTTGGCGTTTTTCCTATTTTGTTGCATTACAACCTGTAATTTAAATTGATTTTTATTTGGATTTCATGTAATGGACATACACAAAATAGTCAAAATTGGTGAAGTGAAATGAAAAAAATAACTTGTTTCAAAATAATTCTAAAAAAATAAATAACGGAAAGGTCCCTTTGCTATGAAGCCCCTAAATAAGATCTGGTGCAACCAATTACCTTCAGAAGTCACATAATTAGTTAAATAAAGTCCACCTGTGTGCAATCTAAGTGTCACATGATCTGTCACATGATCTCAGTATATATACACCGGTTCTGAAAGGCCCCAGAATCTGCAACACCACTAAGCAAGGGGCACCACCAAGCAAGCGGCACCATGAAGACCAAGGAGCTCTCCAAACAGGTCAGGGACAAAGTTGTGGAGAAGTACAGATCAGGGTTGGGTTATAAAAAAATATCAGAAACTTTGAACATCCCACGGAGCACCATTAAATCCATTATAAAAAAATGGAAAGAATATGACAACACAACAAACCTGCCAAGAGAGGGCCACCCACCAAAACTCACGGACCAGGCAAGGAGGGCATTAATCAGAGAGGCAACAAAGAGACCAAAGATAACCCTGAAGGAGCTGCAAAGCTCCACAGCGGAGATTGGAGTATCTGTCCATAGGACCACTTTAAGCCGTACACTCCACAGAGCTGGGCTTTACGGAAGAGTGGCCAGAAAAAAGCCATTGCTCAAAGAAAAAAATAACCAAACACGTTTGGGGTTCGCCAAAAGGCATGTGGGAGACTCCCCAAACATATGGAAGAAGGTACTCTGGTCAGATGAGACTAAAATTGAGCTTTTTGGCCATCAAGGAAAACGCTATGTCTGGCGCAAACCCAACACCTCTCATCACCCCGAGAACACCATCCCCACAGTGAAGCATGGTGGTGGCAGCATCATGCTGTGGGGATGTTTTTAATCGGCAGGGACTGGAAATTGAAGGAATGATGGATGGCGCTAAATACAGGGACATTCTTGAGGGAAACCTGTTTCAGTCTTCCAGAGATTTGAGACTGGGACGGAGGTTCACCTTCCAGAAGGACAATGACCCTAAGCATACTGCTAAAGCAACACTTGAGTAGTTTAAGGGGAAACATTTAAACGTCTTGGAATGGCCTAGTCAAAGCCCAGACCTCAATCCAATTGAGAATCTGTGGTATGACTTAAAGATTGCTGTACACCAGCGGAACCCATCCAACTTGAAGGAGCTGGAGCAGTTTTGCCTTGAAAAATGGGCAAAAATCCCAGTGGCTAGATGTGCCAAGCTTATAGAGACAAACCCCAAGAGACTTGCAGCTGTAATTTCTGCAAAAGGTGGCTCTACAAAGTATTGACTTTGGGGGGGGTGAATAGTTATGCACAATCAAGTTCTGTTTTTTGTCTTATTTCTTGTTTGTTTCACAAGAAAAAATATTTTGCATCTTCAAAGTGGGTAGACGCTAAGTGACTATGCAGACGGACGGACATGGAGGGGTTGGTGTTTGTGTTTCTCAGTAGTAATTGTCAGCACTACATTGGTTTTTGTCACTAGCATCACCCTGTCAGCACTACACTGGGTTTCACAGCACATTGAATTCAGGGAAATCAAGAGGGGGAGGGGTATGCCTCTTCATCAACAACAAATGGTGTTCTGACTCTAGTGCAGTGGAAGTCTCCACCCATTGTTCACCCGTCTTGGAATACCTGATGGTCAAATGCCGACCCTTCTACCTCCCGAGAGAGTTTAAGCTGGCACTTAAACTGTACGAGGCTATAAACAAGCAGGAAACCATGCACCCGGAGGCTGCTTTACTCATTTTAATTCAGAATCGTTAAGAAATGTATACAAAAAAATCGATTCACGCTTTCTTTCTACCTTCTGAAAACACCTCTCAGTCCTTCAGTGTCAAACTAAGCATGTAATTATGTTGCCAGTCATTGATCTACAGGTCATTGTGCCGAACAAGCCCAGGCAACACCAGTAGCCCAGTCAAACTGTGTGCTGTGCGAGAGGTGGGCCTGTTCCTGATCTGGCACTTCTGCTCATCACCTTCAGCATTCAAATGTTTGTAAAATGGCTTGCGCAATATTAGACTTTATGAGATGAGTGACAACCAATGTAATTTGCTAGGTTATTTTTTATAAAATGCACTGTCTAAACTCACTCACACACAAACACACACACACACACACACACACACCACACACACACACACACACACACGTCAGCTCAGACAGATCCAGCTCAGAGTGGCCCAGCTCATCAGCTCCATCAGCAGCAGATTTTAATTTAGAATGGAAAATGAATGTGTTTTATGCAACAAATGTTAGTGCATTGAATCATATCGCATCTAACCGAATTGCAACGATTCGTTCCTCTAATCAAACCAAATCTCACGGAATCGTTTCAAACTAAAACATATTGTTCCTGTATCGTATCAGAGCCCATGTATCTAGATACGTATCGAATCGCCTTGAAAGGGAAAGATGCACATCGCTAGAGAGTAGGCTATGCAGCCCTGTGTGTGTGTGTGTGTGTGTGTGTGTTGACTTGAATGGTAATGATTGCTGTAGTAATTATATTTCTATGGCCACACACACACATGCACCTGCATACACACACACACACACACACACACACACACACACACATTACCATGCCATCTAACCGTAGACGTGCTCGTATTTGTGTGTGTGTTGGCCGCCATGCCATCTTACCGAAGACTCTCTCGTCGTTGATGTTCTTGATGCAGAACCAGAGTCCAGCAGGAAAGGTACAGACCAGGATGTGGAGGTCAAAGAAGAAGGAGACCCAGGTGGTGGGCTGGTGCTCCGAGACGGAAGCTATGATGGGGATGTGGATCTTAGCATACCTGGAGAGAGGAGGAAGGAACAGAGCGAGGGAGAAGAGAGGAGGAGATTATCTATAGACCATGTATTATCTATACACCATGTATTATCTATAATGTATTATCTATACACCATGTATTATCTATACAACATGTATTATCTATATACCATGTATTATCTATAGACCATGTATTATCTATAGACCATGTATTATCTATACACCATGTATTATCTATACACCATGTATTATCTATAATGTATTATCTATAATGTATTATCTATACACCATGTATTATCTATAATGTATTATCTATAGACCATGTATTATATATAGACCATGTATTATCTATAATGTATTATCTATACACCATGTATTATATATAGACCATGTATTATCTATAATGTATTATCTGTTATCTATACACCATGTATTATCTATAATGTATTATCTATACACCATGTATTATCTATAGACCATGTATTATCTATAATGTATATATATAGACCATGTATTATCTATACACCATGTATTATATATAGACCATGCATTATCTATAATGTATTATATATAGACCATGCATTATCTATACACCATGTATTATATATACACCATGTATTATCTATAATGTATTATCTATAGACCATGTATTATCTATAGACCATGTATTATATATACACCATGTATTATCTATACACCATGTATTATCTATACACCATGTATTATCTATAATTATCTATACACCGTGTATTATCTATACACCATGTATATCTATAATGTATTATTTATACACCATGTACTATATAACTGTATTATCTATACACCATGTATTATATATACATAACATGTATTATCTATAGACCATGTATTATCTATAGACCATGTATTATCTATAGACCATGTATTATCTATAGACCATGTATTATCTATACACCATGTACTATCTATAATGTATTATCTATACACCATGTATTATATATAATGTATTATCTATACAACATGTATTATCTATACACCATGTATTATCTATAGACCATGTATTATCTATACAGCATGTATTATCTATAGGCCATGTATTATCTATAATGTATTATCTATACACCATGTATTATCTATAATGTATTATCTATAGACCATGTATTATATATAATGTATTATCTATAGACCATGTATTATCTATACACCATGTATTATCTATACACCATGTATTATCTATAGACCATGTATTATCTATAATGCATTATCTATAATGTATTATCTATACACCATGTATTATCTATAATGTATTATCTATACACCATGTATTATATATAATGTATTATCTATAGACCATGTATTATCTATAGACCATGTATTATCTATACACCATATATTATCTATAGACCATGTATTATCTATACACCATGTATTATCTATACACCATGTATTATCTATACACCATGTATTATCTATAGACCATGTATTATCTATAGACCATGTATTATCTATACACCATGTATTATCTATAATGTATTATCTATAAACCATGTATTATATATAGACCATGTATTATCTATAATGTATTATCTACAGTGAGGGAAAAAAGTATTTGATCCCCTGCTGATTTTGTATGTTTGCCCACTGACAAAGAAATGATCAGTCTATAATTTTAATGGTAGATTTATTTGAACAGTGAGAGAAAGAATAACAACAAAAAATCCAGAAAAACGCTTGTAAAAATGTTTATAAATTGATTTGCATTTTAATGAGGGAAATAAGTATTTGACCCCCTCTCAATCAGAAAGATTTATGGCTCCCAGGTGTCTTTTATACAGGTAACGAGCTGAGATTAGGAGCACACTCTTAAAGGGAGTGCTCCTAATCTCAGTTTGTTACCTGTATAAAAGACACCTGTCCACAGAAGCAATCAATCAGATTCCAAACTCTCCACCATGGCCAAGACCAAAGAGCTCTCCAAGGATGTCAGGGACAAGATTGTAGACCTACACAAGGCTGGAATGGGCTACAAGACCATCGCCAAGCAGCTTGGTGAGAAGGTGACAACAGTTGGTGCGATTATTCGCAAATGGAAGAAACACAAAATAACTGTCAATCTCCCTCGGCCTGGGGCTCCATGCAAGATCTCACCTCGTGGAGTTGCAATGATCATGAGAACGGTGAAGAATCAGCCCAGAACTACACGGAAGGATCTTGTCAATGATCTCAAAGCAGCTGGGACCATAGTCACCAAGAAAACAATTGGTAACACACTACGCCGTGAAGGACTGAAATCCTGCAGCGCCTGCAAGGTCCCCCTGCTCAAGAAAGCACATATACAGGGCCATCTGAAGTTTGCCAATGAACATCTGAATGATTCAGAGGAGAACTGGGTGAAAGTGTTGTGGTCAGATGAGACCAAAATGGAGCTCTTTGGCATCAACTCAACTCGCCGTGTTTGGAGGAGGAGGAATGCTGCCTATGACCTCAAGAACACCATCCCCACCGTCAAACATGGAGGTGGAAACATTATGCTTTGGGGGTGTTTTTCTGCTAAGGGGACAGGACAACTTTATCGCATCAAAGGGACGATGGACGGGGCCATGTACCGTCAAATCTTGGGTGAGATCCTCCTTCCCTCAGCCAGGGCATTGAAAATGGGTCGTGGATGGGTATTCCAGCATGACAATGACCCAAACACACGGCCAAGGCAACAAAGGAGTGGCTCAAGAAGAAGCACATTAAGGTCCTGGAGTGGCCTAGCCAGTCTCCAGACCTTAATCCCATAGAAAATCTGTGGAGGGAGCTGAAGGTTCGAGTTGCCAAACGTCAGCCTCGAAACCTTAATGACTTGGAGAAGATCTGCAAAGAGGAGTGGAACAAAATCCCTCCTGAGATGTGTGAAAACCTGGTGGCCAACTACAAGAAACGTCTGACCTCTGTGATTGCCAACAAGGGTTTTGCCACCAAGTACTAAGTCATGTTTTGCAGAGGGGTCAAATACTTATTTCCCTCATTCAAATGCAAATCAATTTATAACATTTTTGACATGCATTTTTCTGGATTTTTTTGTTGTTATTCTGTCTCTCACTGTTCAAATAAACCTACCATTAAAATTATAGACTGATCATGTCTTTGTCAGTGGAGAATGATCTGCCCAAAATCAGGCAGTGGATACAATACCCATGTATTTTCCCGTGAACCTGTCATACACAATGTATATACTATAACCTGTATTATCTAACACAGGTTTTATCCTATAATGTATATCTATACACATGGTATTATAACTGTATTATCTATCAAATGTATAATACACATTATAAATTTCTATACACCATGTTTTTCTAGATTATTATATACCATGTTATTTATCTTAATGTATTATATACAACATTGCATTATTATACACCATGTATTATCTATAACCCATGTATTATTCATAATGTATTATCATATAGGACCAATATTTTATTTATACACCATGTTATCTATATGTTATCTATACACCATGTATTATCTATAATGTATTATCTATACACCATGTATTATCTATAATGTATTATCTATACACCAGTGATTATCTATCTATACACCATGTATTATCTATACACATGTATTATCTATAACTGATTATCTATACACCAATGTATTATCTATACACCATGTATTATCTTAATGTATTATCTATACACCATGTATTATCTATAATGTATTATCTATACACCATGTATTATCTATACACCATGTATTATCTATAATGTATTATCTATAGACATGTATTATCTATACATGTATTATCTATACACCATGTATTATCTATAACATGTATTATCTATACACCATGTATTATCTATAATGTATTATCTATACACCATGTATTATATAGTATATCATAATGTATTATCTATAATGTATTAATCTATGTAACAACATGTATTATCTATACACCATGTTTATTATGTATACACAATGTATTATCTATAAATGTATTATCTATAGACCATGTATATCTCTAAGATATCTATACAATGTATTATCTATACACCATGTATTATCTATACCATGTATTATCTATACACCAGTATTATCTATAATGTATTATCTATACACCATGTATTATCTATACACCATGTATTATCTATAGACCATGTATTATCTATAATGTATTATCTATACACCATGTATTATCTATACACCAAGTATTATCTATACACCATGTATTATCTATACACCATGTATTATCTATAGACCATGTATTATCTATACACCATGTATTATCTATACACCATGTATTATCTATACACCATGTATTATCTATACACCATGTATTATCTATAGACCATGTATTATCTATAGACCATGTATTATCTATAATGTATTATCTATACACCATGTATTATCTATACACCATGTATTATCTATAATGTATTATCTATACACCATGTATTATATATAGACCATGTATTATCTATAATGTATTATATATAGACCATGTATTATCTATAATGTAGTATCTATACACCATGTATTATCTATAATGTATTATCTATACACCATGTATTATCTATAATGTATTATCTATAGACCATGTATTATATATAGACCATGTATTATCTATAATGTATTATCTATACACCATGTATTATATATAGACCATGTATTATCTATACACCATGTATTATCTATAATGTATTATCTATAGACCATGTATTATCTATAGACCATGTATTATCTATAGACCATGTATTATCTATACACCATGTATTATCTATAGACCATGTATTATCTATACACCACATATTATCTATAATGTATTATCTATACACCATGTATTATCTATACACCATGTATTATCTATAGACCATGTATTATCTATAGACCATGTATTATCTATACACCAAGTATTATCTATACACCATGTAGTATCTATACACCATGTATTATCTATAGACCATGTATTATCTATACACCATGTATTATCTATACACCATGTATTATCTATACACCATGTATTATCTATACACCATGTATTATCTATAGACCATGTATTATCTATAGACCATGTATTATCTATAATGTATTATCTATACACCATGTATTATCTATACACCATGTATTATCTATAA